TTATCCTTCATAAAATCAATAATGTGTTGTTTTTTTGTGCCTGAATTCGGAATTTTGTTTTTCTGTCGGGAATGGTATGGCGCATTGTCCATAATAATCACTGAATTTGGGGAAATGTTTGGTATTAACTGCTGCTCTATCCACTTTTCAAATAAGTCGGAGGTCATGTCCTTATGATAGTCGGCACATGATTCTTTGATATTTTTGGCAGATAACAGCAAGGCATTAGGTATAAATCCATTTTCACTGCCAGCATGGAGAATAATGATTCGTTTTCCACGGTTGCATGGTGCATTTAAAATGCACTTGTTGCTGTCGTCAACCCAGCCGTACTGCACAACATCATGGGTATCATACCACGTTTCATCCAGGTAAATCAGATTTCTTTTCTGCTCTCTATAGATTTTAACTTTGTGCAAAAATTCTTGGCGCAATTCAACGATTCGAGACGACTCCATAATCACCATTCTTTTATCTAATTTTTTGTATTGAAAACCACACAGTTTTACAATACAGTGCAGTGAGTCTAAGCGTTTGTAATTATAAAAATCTTCAGGATAATCTTTTAATTTATCCCGTATCATTTCCAACGTGGGCACCAAATTTTCTTTATAAAATCCGTATATTATACGACGAATATCTTCCTGAAAACCCACGTCTATTCTTTTTAATTTTTGCCCTATGCGCTTTCTGTGGAAGGAATGGTTGACTACATCTCCCCTTTTTATAACCCGATAAATGGTAGACCGACTGATTTTTGTCAGGATACAAATTCTGTTTAAAATTTGATTTTGCGAGGAATCTGGATTTTCGTTTTTCAGACAATCATACATATTTAGGATTACTCTTTGGGTCTGTTCCTCTAAATCTTTATGAAAGAATTCTGCCTGCACAGGTTCATCAACCATCTCCTCGTGGCTTGGAGCATTTTCCCAAGGTCTCCAAAGAGCCATATTTAGGACACACAAGAACAATCAACACAACAATTAAATCAACAAGTAAACAGAGTATTCAAAAGTCAAAAACACACAAACTAATAAAATCTATGAAAAAACACGGACAGACTAAACAAAACACGTTTATTCACCGCTACACGGCACTGGCTAAACTGTTTCAATTGTCAGTAGCCACCTGCACTTGTTCCGAGCTCTGAAATACACGCTTTCTCATTGGCTATGTCCACGCATAGGCGTGCTTTACTCCACGTGGACCGGTGAAACTGCCTTTGATCTCTTATACGGGGGATATTTGCTGCGAAATTTGGCGATTTTTGCAGCAACAGAGCGTGTTAAATATACATATAGATATATAAAACGCACCCGGTATTTCACAGTATTTCAAGTGACTTCAGATAAAGTATACTGTTTTCGACCTCACTGATGTGGGTGTCACACATCGCGCGCGAGGTGGCGATAATAAATTATAAGAGTTAGGTTATCTCACTGCCGAGACAAACTTAATAGTTGGAAGCAGTTATTTTTGAGAACAACAATGATTAGTTCTAACGAGAGTGATGATAGTGCCGAAGGTTTGCATGGGAGTAGAAAGCGAAAAAGGTATCCGAAAGTTTGGAAAGACAATAAAAGGAAAACTGCTGCTCTTAAAGGTGAAGCCTATGTTTCTACATCCGGAAAAAGGGTTGCACCAAAATCATCTGGGTCTCCATGTGGGTAAGTGTTATTATCGATACTAAAAAGCACAGAGAAGTTTCCCGATGAAGAAAAAACCATCTTAATTTCCAAACTATATGACGGTAGGCCCAAAAATGAACGTGACACATTTCTTCAAGGCCTAATTGAGGTGACAACCATTTCAAGACGTAGAGGACGAGTCCAAGCTAATGCTAAGCCCAAATCCGCAAGTTTTAAGTACTCTATATTGGAGAGCTCTGGAAACCGTGTGGCAGTATGCAAGCGAGCTTTCATGAGTATTTACGGTGTGTCACATATGCAAATTCAACGCTTAACTACATTGCTTGTGACCGGCGCATCTCCAAGAGATTTAAGGGGCCTACACAATAACAGGCCACGTTCCAAATCAGATGAAGTACTAATCAGAATTAGGGAGCACATAGAACGTTTCCCACGTAAAATTACTCATTATTCTTCTAGAGTACCTAGATGCTAGGCTAAATGTTAAAACAATGCACTCTCTATTTATTAAAGAAAATCCTGATTTGCAGCATGATGTTAAGTATGAATTCTATTTAAAGTACTTCAAGGAAAATTATGCACTCAAATTTGGAAGACCACAGGTGGACGTCTGTTCCGAATGCGAACGATTAGGCGCCAAGATTAAAAGTAAAGATTTGAATGATAATGCAAAGCGAGTGGCCACAGCGGAACTGATAGTCCATAAGCGACGTGCCAAAAAATTTTATAATAAACTGCAGGATATCCAAAAACTCTGTCAAAATCGACCTGAAGTTGCCGGTATTAAATTTAGATTACATTCAAAATCTACCCCTCCCGAATATACCAGTTCAAGAGATCTTTTATTTTCGGCAACTATGGGTATATGCTTTAGAAATTTAGAAGGGCATGCCTGCAAAGGACCAAACGAGGTCTGCACATTCCTCAAAAACTACATAGAGACTCTCATTCCTGGTAATGTGACAGAGCTGCATATATTTTCTGACGGCTGTCCTGGTCAAAATCGGAATAACACAATAGTGAGATTTTTCATAGCTCTACAAGCAACCAAACGGTTCAAAAAAAATTATCATTATTTTCCTGTACGGGGGCACTCGTTCTTGCCCTGCGATAGACACTTTGGAACTTGTACGAAGAAGCGACCGAGTGTATTTACCAGAAGAATATCAAGAGATGATAGTATCGTGCAGGAAGAACAACCCGTTTACTTTTAAAGAGATTACCTACAAAGATATCATTGACTTTAAAAATTGGTGGCCTTCTAGCTACAAAAAAACTGCGTCTTCGATCCCTAAACCTGGTGATACCACGCAGGCATTCACTGTTTCAAAGTATAGGCAGTTTGTTTATGGTAGTTCTTCTCCAGGATATGTTACTACCTATGAATATATAGATGGTTTTATTTCTTATACTTTTAAGCTCCTCAAACAGAACAAACCAAGAGCCGGTTCCCATCAACCATAAGAAGATCACCGATATAAAAAAAGTCATGAAGTACATTAACGGTGAAACATCAGAATTTTACTACCATGTAACTTCCTGGAAGCAAAGCTACGCAAACGGAGATCCCGATGACTAATATTTTTGTATGGATTCGCCCAATAAAACATTTTTCATATGTCTAGCAGCCTCTATAAGAGTTCCTTTCCAACTCTATTATACGCTAAATCTGCAAAAATGTACAAAAAAAAGACTGAGCTCAAGAACAGTACAAGTCCATGAACTTCACCCTTCTACAACTTCGAGGGGTGTGATTTTTGTCTATTTTTTATTTAAAATTAGTATTCATATAAAGAATCACTACCATTTTTGTATGATAGCCAAAACGGTAACTCTACACATTCGGGAGCTAAGTTTTTTCGCGTTTTCTCAGAACTATCTTTTTGGACTTGTACTGTTCTTGGACTCACCGATTGTTATAAACCTGAGTTTCAATAATGGATTGAATAATAAATATCTGTATTTTGCGTTCATCGTCGTGGTATTAGAACACGCACGAATAATTTATTGTAGCAAATGTTGTACCAAACAACTCACGAAAACAAAATACGAGGAATTTTTTGTTTTTTCATACTGATAAAAACGTGTAAATAAGGTTTGATCTGTATCGTGGGTGATCCGAATGAAGAACTATCGATTTTTGTGAAGTTATTAAGAAAGTATTTTGTGAGTTTATGTTTTTAGTAGTTATTTATTAATAAAAATGGCACATATGTACACTAATGAGGAGTTAGTGGACATTGGTTTAGCGTACGGAGAAGCAGGGCAAAATTCGCGAGCGGCTTCTCGTTTCTATGCACACCGATTTCCGAATAGGCAAATACAGGGTTTGTCCGGAAAGTAATAGGACTCATTTTCTTCCGCCATGACTGTACTTCGGAGCGTGCGCTCACCGACCGGATGCGGTAGAGGGCGTTCCTAGCTGACGAATGAGCGGCTGGTCAGTTGTCTCCGAGCACTTGGAGAGTCAGGACAGGCATTTTCGCGCGACGTGTTTCTGTTAGTGGTGCAAGCCGAAAATGCAGAGTTCGTTAGAGCAGAGGTACGCGATTAAATTTTGTGTGAAAGACGTTTGATATGATCAAGCAGGCTTACCCAGGTGTTGCTTTAGCAAGAAGTGGTGTGTTTCGGTGGCACCGATAATGTGACTCGTGTGCGCAAAGTTTTGAACTCAGACCGTCGACTAAGTATTCGTTTAATTAACCCTTAATTTGGTATTGTATCTTATACGATACTACATATTCAAATATCAATGTTGACGATGCGAGTCAACATATCAAATCTTTTTTGCCGAAAATATCTTCATTAGGCATTCAGTCACTTGAGTTGGTACTTCTGGCGCCATCTGGCATTTATTTTGTGGATTTATAATGTAATGGCCGAAACTTGTCAGCGGACAGCAATGAGTGGCGTGAATTATCGGTAAGTACTCATAATTTTCTAGTAAAGTAAAACAAATATTCACAAAGAATTTGTAACTTTGAGGACATGGATGTTAGGTGCATCTTATAGAATTAGATTTAGATGATAATGATGAGCCACTTGGTCAGAGTTGCTGATCTAATTTTACTGTATCTCGTAGTCTACGTTGCCAGCTCCTCAAAAAAGGGATAGTTATTTGTTGTGTATCTAATGATCTACAGTGCCAAGTTCTCTTTAAGCAATTGATAGTTTGTTGTGTGTCGCATAGTATACGTTGCCAACTTATCGTAAATTGAAGTATCCTAGGTGTGCATCATATTATACACACACTTAACCTAAACATATGTTCAAATTAATAAAATATGTCTTTATTTCTGGCTCAGATACTAGTGATTATGTTTATTTTCCAGAAGAAACTATTCTATTATGGCACTAACACGGAAGGACAAGATAATTGCCCTTCTACCACCTGCATCTTCTGATCTGAGTGACACAAGTGAAGATGAAGAATTTCCTGGAAAGCTGTTTGATATGATAAGGGGCTCAAATAGTGAGTCTTCCGAGGCTCCATCGATTCCTGATGAAGCAGTTGCAGTAATGGAGGATATAATGAATGATTTGTCAAACACCAATGACGCTTCTCCAGATGAAGCAACCCGAGTTGTTCAGAATACACCAGAATAAGTAAGTCTCTGTGCATTTTCGACTCCAAGAACTTCATTTGCGATTACACCACTAAAAACCAGATCACATTCTAAAACGGGCAAAAAAAGAAAAAATGTGAGTCATGCTGTTAGAGACAAGTTGATAAAAGACGAAGTCAGTAGGAAAAGGAGTAAGGTGAAAAAGAAAAAACTTGAATGTAGCTGGACAAATGAACAGTTTGCTTTTCCAGTAGATATTCCAGAAGACAATTTTACCACGCCTGATAGAGTGAAAACGCCATACGAATACTTTCAGATGTTCTTCTCAGATGATTTATTACAAATGCTCGTTGACAACACTAATTTATACTCAGTTCAACAAACCGGCAAATCAATATGTGTCACACTCGAGGAAATGAAAGATTTTTTGGCTATTCAAATCCTGATGGGAATAGTCGAAATGCCAGCTTATACATGTCGCTAAAACGTTATCAACAGATAAGAATACACATTCACTTTGTTAACAACGCAAATCAGAACGACGATCCTTACTTCAAAATTAGGCCAGCTTTAGAAATAGTGAGAAGAAATTGTATGAGTGTAGAAGAAGAGAAAAAACAGAGTATTGATGAAATGATGGTACCATATAAAGGGAAGAAGGCCGGGTCAAAGCGGCAATATATAAAATCTAAGCCCAAAAAGTCGGGCTTCAAAATCTTTGTGAGAGCAGGTGTATCTGGATTAGTCTATGATTTTCTCATCTATGGAGGAGAAAAGACATTCAGAGAATATCACCAGTTTACCAGCGAAGAGAATACTTTAGGATTAGGAGCGAAAGTTATTCTTAGTCTATGCAAATCTATGAAAGCCCCTATCTGCTCGGCTGTGTATTTTGACAACTTCTTTACGTCTTTGGAATTGGTGCACATACTGAGACAAAACTACGGAATTTTATCTCTCGGCACAATAAGATCCAATCGGCTGGGGATCTGTTCATTAGAAAACGACAAAGCCTTGGCGAAAAGAGGTCGAGGGTCATTTTGCTTCAAAAATGATAACGTCAACAAAATCAGTTGCGTTAAATGGTTTGACAATAAGGCAGTCATTCTTGTGAGCTCTTATGTTTCAGTAGAGCCAGTAGCTACTGCTACACGGTATACGAAACACAAAAAAGATAAAACTGATATACCATGTCCGAGTATTGTAAAACAGTATAACCGCCACATGGGTGGAGTTGACCTTATGGATATGTTAGTTTCACTTTACAGAACTCGGCTGAAGACTCGTCGGTGGTATTTATCTATTTTTGCTCAAATGATAGATTTATGCATGAATAATGCTGGGCTTCTTTACCGTCGAGAAACTAAGCTGACGTATGCAGAATCAGGGGGCAACGTGGAAAACATCAGTCTGAAAGAATTCAGATACTATGTCTCGAAATCATTGAGAATGAAAAGAAGATAAACTAACTCGAGAGTGAACGAGAATGTAGATATAAAACGAAGGATCAAACAAGCTGTAGTTAGACCACCAATAGATGTAAGACATGACAGAGTCGATCACTTCCCGCAGTATATAAGCAAAGGTAGATGTCGATTATGCAAAAAGGGAGATACTCATTGGGCGTGTACCAAGTGTGGCACAAGACTATGTTTAGTGAAAGATCGGAACTGCTTTTATACATTCCATCAGAGTAGTTGACAGGTTCCAGTGAACGTCAACTTTGGATTTTTTGTTCAATTATGAAAGATGTTTTCGTTTATTTGTGCTTAGAGGTTGTCGGTTTCTTATTTCATGCAAATGTTGTCCATTATAAACAATCAATAAATTATTTTACATAATTTTCTTGTATCCTTTTATATAACTTAACAATTGGCAGTGTATCTCTTAGCATACATTATGGCGGATTTCCACCAAACAGACAAAACAGCAACAAAACAGAAACTCGTGTTTATCTCAACAAAACTGCAACTTTTCACCAACATTTTGTAGACAGGAGTCGCCGGCAACTGTTTTTGTTGAGTTTTTGTTGTGTTTTCGAAGTCCCGGTCGAAGGCGGTAACTTCAAAGGGTTTTCGCGCAACTAGCAACACAGTTGGTTTAGTGGAAACAGCTTGCGACGCGTCTCTGTTTTGTTGTAGTCTGTTGTAGTGTGTTGCAGTGTGCGCAGTTTGAATTTATTTGTGCTATTGAATACCTAGCAGTTAATTGCAGGATATGACTGAAGAAAAGAAAAAGTGGACCACAGAAGAAGTGGGAAATTTAATAGAAACTTATCGCGATTGTCCAAATTTATGGAACCCCACAAACCTGGAGTATAAAAATCGAGTGAAAAAAATGGACACTTACAAACAAATAGCTCATGTATTTAAAACAACTCCACATGAAATAGAGAGGAAAATAAAAAACTTAATTACCCAGTACCAACGGGAAAGGCGCAGTTACAAAAAAATGAAAAAATCAGGAGCCGGTCATGTTTTCAAGGCAAAATGGTTTGGTTATAGTGCCATGAGCTTCCTTCACGACAAAAACAAACCTAGGAAAGGAACACAGATTGGCGTAGAATTGGAGGTGAGTAGGTATTTTGTTTTTTTTGTGTTTATTTAAAACTCTAGCATTTTAAGAAAATTTACAACAAATAATTAAGCATACTGTGATTGCCATGGTACTTGTCCTAAGTCCGATATGAAATATTCGCTGAATTCGTCTCTAATTTCTCGGGCTTCTTGAATTGGTTTCCTTGCTATTCGTCTTATAGGCAAAAGTGAGTGACATGGTTCCGGATCATTTCTCCACAATCCTCCACTTACAGTACCAGAATCTAAGTGTTCGAAATCAAAGGAGCCTGGCGGTGTATATCTATCTTTCGATTCCACATCTCTACGTAAATAATTGTGCAGCAAAACACATGTTTGAACAACTTTCTCCACTTTGTCCGGCTCTAGTAACATAGGCTTGCGAAGGACCCGAAAAACAGATGCTAGTATTCCGAATACGTTCTCGACGACTCTTCGAGCTCTACTTAGACGGTAATTAAAAATTCGTTGTCTTGACCCACGTTCTTGGTGCCCAGCATACGGCTTCATTATATTTTGTGACAAGGGGAATGCATCGTCTGCTAGTAAGACGTATGGTACCAGTTTTTCTCTTCCAGAAAGTGCCGCCTTTTGTGGCAGATTGAGCATATCTCTTTCCAATGCTTTGGCAAATCCAGTATTTTTGAAAACTCCTCCGTCTGATATTCGGCCCTGGCACCCAACGTAAACAAAAATAAAATTGTAACTGGCATCGACTATGGCAAACAATACAATACTAAAAGTCCCTTTATAATTGAAGAATTCACTTCCACTGTATTTTGGGGATTCTATGATTACATGTTTTCCATCCATACTGCCTATACACATCGGGAAGTTCCACATTGTATTATATCCATTTGCAACTTTTTTCCAATCCTCTGGATTTGCGGGAACCTTAAAACAAAAAAATTCAGGACCATGATCAAATGTAAGAAGGAAGAATCCCGAAAGGACACGATATCTGATTTCTTGATATTGGATTTCAAACAACTGATATTATTCCTAAAATAATCTTCATTTTAAACTATACAACCCACATTTTATGAAATTCAGCCAATTCAATGCGCACTCTATAATTACAGGGAAGTGATTCGTCAGATGAAGGTGATGAAGAAACCCAGTCTGATATGCAAAGCACAACCGAAGCAACGAATGAGTATGAAAGTGAAAGCGAAGTTTCAGAATGTCAGTTAACTGAGGAAATAGGCACACCTGCAGCAAATACAAGGGAAGAGCCTAAAATCGCTGCTGCAGCGTCAGTTAACAAAAATGTTTCAGTTGAGAATACAGAAAGTGCAGAATATTTTCAGAAACAAGCTTCCCAGAAACCACATGTTTTTAGTACTCCAAAAATTGGCTCAAGAAAGAAAAAACGTGTTGAGTCTGATGACAAAAATGAGACTACGGAGGTCTTTCAGATGATGAAGTCAGTATTTGAGAACAGGCAAGTAACTACATCAAGGCGCGACGAATACGACGTGTTTGGGGAAATGGTGGCCTGCAATATCAGACATCTGCAAACTGAACATGCTAGAGTTACTGTGCAACACAAAATAAATAACCTACTATATGAGGCTCGAATCGGTTATTACAATTATCCAGAAACCATGCGAGTCGTCGTGCCATCACCTTCACCTAACAGCAGTCACACTGTATCATCTGACACCCAGTCGGCAATGACGGAGACGGAAGTACAACAAACTTGGAGTGATGACGTTTTACAAGTTGCCATTGCATCATCCTTTGGGCTGAATACAAATCATGACGATAATACAAATCAGGACATGTTTCCAAAGAATTAACCTTAAGTTACTGTACGTACTATTTGTCAAAATATATTTTCGTTGCAGTATCCTATATACAGTGTGGCCTTACCTTTATATTATCCTTTAGACCTTCGCATAGGGCACTGCAAACTTCGGGCACAATTCGTGAAATTGATGATGCAGATGCTTTACATAAATACATCAAACTTTGATAGCTGTCCCCCGTAGCAAGGAATCTTAGTGTTATAGCTAAACGGTCTTTTACGGATATAGCGTCTCTGTAATTTGTGTTTTGTTTGCGAATCTTTGCGCCGATCAGAGTTATCAGGTTTTCAAAATCAGTGCTGGACATTCTCACAAAATTATGAAACGATGATCGCAACTCGCCATGCAATCCAAAATCATCCGTTTTCAACTGAGTAAGCATTTCTGCCGCGCCATTATTTTCTCTTGTAGTCAACAGCGATCTCACCCAGTACCTGTGCTGTCGACGCTTTTTCCTTTTCTTTGCTTTAGAATGCAATATAAACCATCCACATAACATGATGAAAAGATCATCTTCATGCCACATGATCAACACAAAACACTGTCTGCCTAGTGGAAAGGAGTGACAACTTACACACAACTAGGACTGTAGTCGAGTCTGTTCAGTTGCAACAGCGTTTCTGATTTGGTTCTGTTTTGTTGCTGTTTTGTGTTGTCTGTCGGAGTTTTCATATTCGGAAACAAAACAGCAACTCGACGAGTCGGTTTGGTGGAAATCCGCCATTACATTGTAGCAAACAACTTCACTCAAATTAGTGATGTATCTTATCGGATACATCCTATATCTGCTCAAAATTCCATAAAAATCACATTTTTTGTCTTATAATCACTTATTGGGATGCCAATAAATATATCTCCATCCACTGTTATCAGAAAAATTGCAAAACATGGCTTTGCCAATTTAAGGGTTAATGTAAAATTTACCAAAATCTGTTCCCGACAAGACATCGCAGCTCACACCGCCTTCCTTGTGAACATCTACCTGACCAAGGTCGGCATCCCAACGCTTCCGCAGCCGTCCTACAGCTCAGATGTGCCCCCCCCCCGGACTTTTTTTGTTTCCTCGCCTCAAAAGGCCGATGAAAGGCAAGCATTTTGAGACGACAGAGGGGATCCAAGCAGCATGCATCGCGGCTCTCAATGTCCGCCAAGGTCACGTTCGCAGCGATCCATTCGTTAAACCCAATTTTCAATGATTCGGCCTCACATTTCGACAAAACGGCCGCTATCTCTCGTTCAATATTCGCTCTGAGCTCCTCAAATGACGCCGGCTTGTTGGTATAGACCAATGATTTGATGAAGCCCCACAAAAAAAGTCTACAGGTGTTGAATCACACGAACTAGGCGGCCATCCGACATATAACACGTTTACCGAATTCAATATATCGATTGTTCCACCTACTGTGTGGCTTGAGGCACCGTCTTGTTGAAACCACATATCATTAATGTCTAGCCCGTCCTATTGACCAAGAAAATAATGTTGCAACTATCGCGGTTTACTGTAACGCGACGGTCATTTTCATCGACGAAAAAAAAAACACGGCCCAATGACACCAGTTATTGTTTGTGTATGAAGTCGTGTTCCTTGAAGCACATGAGGGTCTTCACCTGACCAATAACGCATATTCTGTTTGTTCACGAAGCCGTTTAGCCAAAAATGCGCCTCATCACTGAAGATGATTTTGCGATGAAATTATCATTTTCTTGCAACATTTCTAGAGCCCAATTCGACAACGTACGTCGATTCATATGATCGAACGGTGGTATTTTTTGAGTTAACTTGATCTTATAAGGGTGCAGGCCAACATCTGTTCGCAAAATTCGCCTTAGTGTGGTCTGAGCGACGCCCGATGCTTGAACGCCAGCAACATTATCGAAACTTCGACCAACCCGTTCTCCACTGGCACGGGAACATCCATACATTTTTTTACTAGACTATGAATTGCGTATCTGCTGGGACGACAATTAAGACAAAAAATTGGCGTTAACACTATTAGGGCCAATTTCAGCAACATTAATATTTGACGGTCAGTTGGACCAATAGGAAAAGACCTTATTGAAATGCAATTTGACGGAA